TCGGACCGCCCAGCTTGACCCGTCGACAGAAACCGCTATATCCACTGTTTTTTTTATCGGTGTCACCACTCTCGTCTATCTCTCCGCCAATTCTGTTTTGAGTTTTCTTATTTCATCGGCGGCATCTTGAAATTCTTGTTCTAATAGTCTTTTAGCAACGTCTAAAACATTCCGAGTGTTTTCTCTGAATGTGGATTCCAGATATAATAGAGGAGGCGGTAATCCCATATACATGTAGCAACTAAATTTACGCATTGCGCGACGACCCTTTCCAATGCCACGAGCCTCGATCACCAGCTTACGATTCACATCAAAAGAATGTCCACTCTTTTTTGACGCAGGAAAAATGTCAGTCACGGAGTAACATTTTTTATTCCACTCTGCGGACTGACTATAATATGAGCCCAGGTCACTTTCGTTTAGATATCTTTTAACGGCATCGGACATTTTTCGGCGGCCAGCTTTTTTCGGCGGCCAGCTTTTTTCATCTTAGAACTCCTTCCCATGATAAATTAGGTTATTAAAACACCGAAAAAAAGATTGAAATACTATAATGTAATGTTTGTTTGTGCTTCGATCGCGTAACGGACACTACTTATAGATTACACAGGATATAATAAAGCTGAATGGTCAACAAATCAGTATGCAAATTAAATCCTTTGTCTTCAGTCTGTCATTCAACATGATATGTAAATGCATGAAGGACGTGTTCACCTACAACTTAGTTTCCGGGAATAAATTGAAATTAGTCAACAAATGCATCGCGCACTGTAAATTTGAACCAAAGATAAATAAAGTACACAATATATGGTTGCATAATCCAGGATTTTTAGAAAAAATTTTGTTGTTTTTTCTAGTTTTTCCCCCTCTCGCTACCTTTAATAATTACCACTACATATTATACATCTGTCCCTGCATTGCCATGTCATAATTGTGTTGTATTGCACAAAGTATCTGTATCCCACTTTACTTGAAAGGCGGACTCCATTTACATGGATTGCTCTAAGTGCCATCCTCTTGATCAGGAACAAAATTATAAGATTATTAAGAAGATAACACATTATACACATAAAAATCACAGATGACTCTCATTGCATTTGACAATGATAAACTTACCGAAAAATCATGTTTTTCCTGATCATTTTCATCACTAACATCGGTATAATTCGCCTTTTTATTTGGGTGTGTTTGTGACCTGACTGTTGCATCATCAGGTGTGCTATATAAGGAGATCTGTGATTCGTTGATTAAACCAGTCAGAGGAGGTCTCATTGAAATCTTGTTACATAGGCATTGGTTTAGATGTATGTGGTGATAGTTAAAAATATACCGAACCCCAGTACGTAACAAAAAACATTAAAAAAATACAAAATAATTATAAAAAAATATAAAAGTAAAATAAATATATAATATCAGATTTTATTAAGATTGTCGTTGGTGTGCGCAACAGTCAAAATCACCATCTTTGTTTATATGAGACCCATATCTCGTGCACGTGCGGCACGACGGCTACCGCCTTTTCAACCTAATAAAAACTGTCTTACTCTATGAAGAATTTTGAAGAATGCTAAACCAATGCTATTTACTTAGGATAATTTGGATCATTAATTAATAATCCAATAACCCTGTATACTCTTACAAAGTTTACTTTGATTTAATTTCCTGCAGATAAAAACAAACTTAGATCATTGGTGGATAAACTTCAGGAAACTCTTGCTGTAAGGTGTGATGTAGAAGGTAATACACATACAATGTATGTATATGTAGTAGTGTATTTGTGAAAAATCTTGTTCCAGTTCTACTCTGCAATTAGCCAATGGTTGTTCTTTTCAACATGCAGCTTCTCTGCAATACTGTTGCATTGAACAAATTCAAACTTCATATATAGGTTAATCACAATCGATTACATATGTTGATACAATCAGAGTTTATTAAAAGTGTATTTTGGGTCTAAACATGACATTTTTGGTCAAAAATGATAGGGTAAATTTTGTTTTTGCCTGATACTGGCAATGCATTGACCAATTCCATTACAACAACACATAATAGGTAATGTACAATATATTACATGTACAAACGTTAATGTCGCAATCAATATCTGTTAAATGTAAGGTCTTGTATAAATTTGTTAATGTGGGTTTTTTGTATACATGTCAGTACCGTAATTTTGTACAGAGAAAGCTCTCATTCACCCACATGTATTCAACTCCACAGATCAAAATGGTATCTTAAAAGAAAGGGTAGCAAAATTAGAAGAAGAATTAACTGTAGTAAGACAGGTTAGCAAAAGAATTTGTAATATTTCAAGAAACATGGTCTTCATAAAACCACAAGAGTAAAGTTGGTTTCAGGAAACATAAACTGATCTGATTTTGTTCTGATAAATTGTCTCAGGTGGTGGATAAAAAACCCAAGGGAACCCTAAAAATAAACACTTTCACCGGTAAATTGTATCTAAAGATAAGGAATGAAATAAAATAAAAAATCTCACTTTTGAGTATAATCTTTTTTTTGTTGTGCAGTAATCTTACATTTATTGAATATACATGTTCATTCCCACCAATGAACGTTTATTCACTCACTCACTCAGTATATATAATTGCTTGAACTTTTGCTTCATGGGTTCAGTAAGTGATGGTTCCACTCCTTGTTTTTTTAATGACAACGCATATTTAACTAAAGGAACATGAAATCAATCTTTGTGACCAAGTAGAAAAATTGGAGAAACTTAAAGAGAATCACCATGAAGAACTGAAAAAAAATCAGATGGATACAAAACATAAAGGTAAGGGAAGCATGTACTAGTAGAATATTAGTCATAAAATATTGAGTTCCATCTATTTCAAATTTTATTGATCTCTTGGGAAGGTTAATAGTAATTTATTCTGTAGTAAAGATTGATAGTCAGATTGGGTGACTAAAAGCATCCTGTAAACAAGTCAGAAGGTCATCATAGTCTATAACTGCTAGTATTCTTTGTGATTAGAATTGATAAACCAGCTTTACTGAATTTAACATATTTTATTGTGGCACGCGGGGTGGGGAAATTTTCATAAGGCTCTTTACATACTCATGTTTTCTTGCTTCACATGTAATCCTGAAAGCATTTGTCACAGTCAGTGACCTATGTGTCGCCCTGG